GCAAGCTCCTTGGCAGGTGTAAATTAGCATAGCTACAATGCAGCAGTTGAGAGTCTGGCCTAGAAACTGGGAACGATTATTCTATCACTATTCTTCTAAAGGATCACATCTTAACTTGACATAAAGCAAGGATCATATGATCTTCTCCGTACCCAGTGTACTCTTACCACAAAGTCTTTCAGATACCTTTTCTATTATTTGTAGACTAAATTCTTCCACCAGCAGATGTATGTGATGTCCATTAGTTATATAAACGTCTCTTCACAGTCAGGCCTTTTGGATGCACTTTGTCCAATATAGTATTTCTTAAGCCCATTGGCTTTGGAGACTATTTAGCAGACTTGAATAAATGGAACAAATGTGGAAGCTGTACCAAACATATCATTTGGGGATGTCGAAGCACTTAACAAACATTGTTACAACCGAGTCCATGTGTAACCACTGAAGGACATATTTGCTTCAGTATGTCTCATGACAGCTTCTTAAGAAAATATACTTAAGTGAATTTAACACTTGTGAAAGGTGCCAGATTGACAGGCCCTGGAGATAAAAGTTCTTGAATTACCAGCAGGCACAGCCAAGCTTCCCACACACACTGCCCCACCAGTGTCCCCAACCCTACCTGGAGGGCACAGCTACCAACTGTCCTACAGCTTGCAAATCTGTGCCACCACGTGCTGTTGGACTACAGGCCAAGAGTCAGTAGCTGTAATGTGACCTAAAGGTGAAAAAGCAGGTTCCATAATTACTGCACAGGTGCTGCTACAGTTGATCATTTTCACACCCAAGTTTTCAATTAATGTGAAAAAACAATAAATGAAGAAAGTCCACATTTCTCTGATTTTGCATCAAAATGCAACAAAAAACCTGTGTGTGAGCCTCAAGTGAGTCCTGCAGTTTTATCTGTCTGCACAGCTACATTCAGGTGATTATATGAGCAACCGAGTGCATGCAAATTCTGTGAAGTGCATTGTTAGATGCCTCTTGAAAAATGGGTCCTTACCATTTCATATGTTTCTAATAATCTGTCTCCATTCATATCTCATCCGTGCTTGGTGTCACTGCATCCCACCCTCCCCAGAGATCCTAAGCACAGATGGCATACAATTTCAGTAACCATCCACTCCATAAAGTGATTGGGTCATTACAGGGTTGAAAGATAGCAAACAGGGAAAACAGGATCGTGACCTTTGCACTCTGTCATGGCTTTAAAAAAAGCACAGGTTCTTCCCTGATGGTACTTGGAAAGTTTAGTTCTCTGTTCTCTTTGAAATTATATTTAGACCTCACTGTGTGCATTGGAAGGACATGCTTAAGTGTTTCTCTATTTAGTGCAGAAGGTTAGTGACATTTTAAACAAAAGTGCACATTTATAACATTGTATAGGCAGATTCTCAATCTGTATATAGGACATAGCTAAAAACAGAACACTGGAAAACACAGTGATGAGTTTTCCTGCTCTACTATTTTCTAAGCTATAGCTGGCATCTTAAAAGAATTATTATGGAAACTAAGTCTTAATTCTTTCTGCTGAGAAACAGCCATAACTAATGTGCAGAGGAGCTCAGCAACTTTAAACAAGTCTTTAAAGTTTATCTTTAAAGAAGTCACAGTTTTTTCTGCAACTTGCCATTGATGGGCAGCATAACATACCGAATTTGACTGGCTGTGTTTACTGTAGAAGGTAACTTCTGTATACCCAGGGAGTTAGGTGGTGTATAATGTTTTTAGGGATTGAAATTGTAATTGTTACAAATATCAGTGTAAAACCCCATTTGACAATTATGATTACCTGATTTGCTTACCTCCTTAACATTCCTGGTGTGTCTGTCACACTGTACAGCTTTAGGAAGGGTCTGTACCAGCCTTCAAACTAAGCTGAAGTTTAGGTTTCAAAATTTGTGTGGGAGTTCAGGAGAGAATGTGTACTTGAAAGGGTAATTTTTAAGATGGTAATATCCATGTGCTGTGCTTGAATATCTTACCTCATTCAGCTTCAGTTCTCCTGTGCAGGCTGTCTGGACAATTTTAGATCATCTTCTTCACAGGTTTGGTTTTTTTAGTACCTGGTTTCATGTTTTGCCTAGCCTAGATTCAAATATCCAATACTGTGGCCAAGTCAGGGTTTGTTTTGCTTTTTGTCTGCTTGTATTTGCATAGTACCTTGATGGTATTTCCATTTAATTCATTTTATTGCAAGTTCCTAATTTTAACTATATCATGTAAAAAATTCTGCTTCAATCTGTAAGTCATTTTTCATCAATCACCTTTTTAAGATTTCTGAGCTAATAGCTGGCCTTTTGCTTGCAGAAAGGCAAAAGGCTTTTCTTGTCTGCTGTTAAGAGGGGATGAGGGGAATACAAGGGACTTTTTCTTACAGAATGACAATACTCCACTCCCAGAAAAATGCAGAGGAAGAGAAGTAGATGTTTACCTGTTTTTCATAAGGCATACAGCATACTTGGGCACTACTGAAAACATTATTTAGAATCGAGGGCTTCCTAAAGTTTACCTATCCCATTCTGAAGCTCCAAGGATGTTTCTCAGTTCATTAGTTTGAAAAGCCTATATAGATGTGAACTTTTATTTTTAGTTTTGTTTAGGAAAGGACAGAAATTAGAATTCTGTATTAGGGGAGAAAAGGAAGAGGTTCTTTCATGTCTGAGTTAAACAGAAGCCTTTGGAAGAATAGAAAGGGGTTGGTTCATTCCCATTTTCATGTAACTTGAATTAGAAGGTTTAGTAAGTGAAATGGATCATAAGCTAAACCCCACAGAGTCCAGAAAGCTCTAATTAACGCCCACAGTGAGTAACTTTTCTGAAAGTGGTCTTTAATCAACCTTGCTCTGAAAACAACATAAGGTATCATGGCAGCTTGATAAAAGAGATGCATTGCAGTGCTGACAGGCCCACAATCAAACCAGAACTAAAAATAACTGGTTTGTCTACTAATTTTCTTTCAGATGCTAAAAAATGCATTAGCTGCCGTCTGAAAAAACTTCCATAGTTACTCAGACAAGTGACTCAGCTCTAGAAAACTGAGGTTCCTGTAAATGTTAATGCCCTTCCTGATTGAGTGAGCCCTCTTTCCTTCCCACACCTCCCTGCTGAAGCAGAGGAATAGCAGAGAGTTTGGCGAGGCTGGAAGGGGATGAGGCAACTTCTGGATTCTGTCAGAGCTGGTCATTTGATGCCAGCTGTCCCTCTCGTTGCTGGTGCTGCAGAGCTCAGGCATCCTCACTGACTATTTTGGATTAAGATAAGCAAATCACTCATCTTTCTTGTATCTCTCCATGAACAGTTAGGTCCACGGCTGCAACCCTGCACACACACCTCTCCTCACTGATTCTGAGAGCAAGAGTTATCAGGAAGGCATGCAAGGAAACAGCTCTTTTTCATCTGCTCCAGTTCCTGTGGGTACCATACAAGCCTACAGCAACTTTAATTATTTTTTTCACCATAGACTGTGTAAAAACATTAGTAGAACTGTTTTTTTTTTCAGGTTTGGGATAGATTCCAAAGGGACAAGAAGTCCACTGCACAAACAGGACTGGCAGTCCACAGTTTTATCTCAGTATAAGAAAGACATGAACCTGTTAGAGGGTCCAGAGGAGGGCCACAAAAATTATCAGAGAGACACAACATCTCTCCTATGAGGAAAGGCTGAGAGAGTTGGGGTTCAGTCTGGAGAAGAGAAGGCTTCAGGGAGACCTTATAGCAGCCTTTCAATACTTTAAGGGAGCTTATCAGAAAGCTGGGAACAGACATTTTAGTAGGGCCTGTAGTGATAGGACAGGGGGTAATGGCTTTAAACTAAATGAGGGGAGATTCAGACTAGATACAAAGGAAGAAATATCTTATGATGAAATAGTGGAACAGGTTACCCTGAGAGGTGGCAGATGCCCCATCCCTGGAAACATTCAAGGTCAGGTTGGACGAGGCTCTGAGCAACCTGATCTAGCTAAAGAGGTCTGTCCTCCTTGCAGGGTGGTTAGACTAGGTGACCTTTGAAGGTACCTTCCAACCCAAACTATTCTATGATTCTACAACTCACAGTATTTTATGGCCAAAATGGCAGTCCCGCCAGCCTGAATACCAACGTATCCTTCACAGGAGAAGTTGCAATCAACTGAAACTGTTCTTTGGTATTAGGGATAAGCTGAAAGAGGATGGCTAACACTGGCTTTAGTGCTTCCAGTCCAGGTTGTCTTTTCATCTGTTGTGTGAATTCTTGAAAAAGACATTTGCACTGTTACAACTAAAACTAGTTTGATGGAAGAAACAAGAAGCCCTTCAGTTTACATGGGTCCATAAATGCAAGACAAACTGAAATGAAACGTTATGGATGCTTGAATGTGCATTTTTATGAAACAATTGTTTGCAAATGCACACATGCAGATCTGAAGAAGAGTGGAGTTGAAGTCTGAATTATACTAGTTGCTTCTTACTTTAAAAAAAATGTTGCTATGTATTCACCATGCCACAGGAGAGCCCATTCATCAATTGCTGACATTGAAAGGAGAGAAATCTAGATGCAACTGAAGAAATCTTCATACCAATGATTAGATTTTGAAAGTTATGTAGGAAAGAACATAAAATCTTTTATTGTTGTAGTATCAGATATTGGCTTAGGCAATCACAGGTTTAAAGCAGTAGATCATTTCTAGAGCTGTGCCTAATCTCATCTGACAAAAGGTGCCACAGAACTCCCCTTGTTACCAGTCCTTAACAGAACTCAGTTACACCCTGATCAGCATTAAAAGTATGCAAATCATCACTATCCTGATATTATAAATAAGAAGGCAAAGACAGACTGAAACTCACTTGAAAGAAGGAAATCAGTGTAATAACCAGGATAAATAATAAGGATGGCTTCCAATGAAGGTTTCATTTCCATCCTCCTACGTTTAGTTATTGTTGATTTCCCTCTTTTTGTGCATGAATATTTCCCACCTAAAAAAAAACAACAAAACAAAACAAAAAAAAAAAAACAAAAACCAAGAGTGATTTAAAAGTTTATAATTTTGAAAGAAATTTCCAAAAGCTTTGGGGAACATATCTTTGGCCAGTTTTCCCTGGACCTGGTAGGCTCTTAGTATTTTGGAAATCTAGTTGATATGTTTTCAAAATGGAAACAATTAGAAAAAGACAAGGTGTTGCCTCTGTTTTTTGCTGTGGGCAGAGCACTTTTGAAAACCTGGTCCTTTAACACGGAAGTGACCAATGTGAAATAATGTCATCAAGAACAGTAAAGAAAACCATAATATACCATATGAAAAGTCAAGATTGGAATATGAAAAATATCCACATTATTGTCAATTAAAATCTTCACAGCTGCAAAAAAAAATCAGCACAAAATCGTATTTTGCAAAGTGACTCACTTTTATATCCCAAAAGTATATTTTTGTTTACTGGGCTTGATTTTATTTTGGACAGAAAGGTATAAATTAAAATGAAGCAAGCCACTTGTACAGGATTTGTTTTAAAATCTTATACTGCACTACATCATTTTATATTATCTGAAGTAAAAGTGTGGGGAAAACCCTGAACTGTAATACCAGATAATTTTTAAAAAGCACATTTTTCTTCCTTGCTGTGGTTGTAAACCAGAAACAGCAAACTGGATGTTTAAGAAAGGGAGGGGTCTCTCCCATTTCTTGTGTTTCACCTTTTCATTACACTGCCTGATCATTTAAGGTAGAAGCTTGTTCCAGACAGATTTAATTAAACTATGCTGTGAAACTGTATATAGATCAATGGAAATGATCCATAACAAGAGGCTAATCATGTATTTAACAGTGTTCAGTCCAGTTCAATCACCTTCTACCGTTTCTGTGGCTTTACATTCATGTGGCAAAGCCCTGAATGTGTATATGTATTTTTAATCCATCTCATTAGTGACCATATGCTTGGGTTTCAAGGGAGACAAGAACTGTCTGCAATCTGCCAGGGATTTAGGGACATCAATAATTTGTGAATAGTCATGTTGGTACTGGTCGAAGGGTTAAGTGTTCTGCACACCAGGGGCACATCTTCTGGGACTGGAACTCTTAGTCAACTGTTAGGAACCTTATCCCCTGTGACACATCTTTTCAAAGTACATGCTACATGTCAAATCTCTGCAGCTGAAGCAATGGAGCTTTATTAGCTCAGGGATTTAAAAACCTCCTCTAAGTAAAGTAACAGTATCTTTTGGTTAAAAAGTGAAGATAGTAGTAGAAATATGAAAGTGACTTTTTATGTACTGGGCTAAATGTGATCTTCCTTTTTGTTCCCATTTTCCTTCTCAACATGAGCTACTAGATTACTCTTCCCCTGCAAATATCCAGTAGAGTATGGCAGCAATAACGGAGACCTGATTTTGGAAACATAACTGGATTCTGTGGCCTCACCTAAATCTTGCTGAAGCCAACGACAGCACAGATGTAAAGATTGTCTTCCTAATCATTTGGAATGACCCGTTAGGGGCTCCCAGGACATTGTTCAATCTACTTAGTGTGAAAAGCACCTTTAAAAAACAATAGCATATGGCGTTAGATTGTGCCATGTTATACGTAAGGGCTGCTGTCAGCATGAGAGATCATCAAACTATTGATCCCAGTATCCTGTCCTTACAAAGGAATGGCAGAAATAGGTTCAAATGTCAGAATTTTTGTTGAGACTGGGTGTTGTGGTTTAAACCCAGTCAGGTAACTCGTTCACTCACTCCCCCCCTTCTTTCTCTCCCCCTACTCCCGGAGGGACGGAGAGGAGAATCGAAAAGAATGCAGCTCCCAGGGTTGAGATAAGAACAGTTTAGTAACTAAGGTATAACACAGATCACTACTGCTACCACCAATAATAACAATGATAAAGGAAATAACAAGGGAAGAGAATACAACACCTCACCACCAGCCGACCGATAACTTGCCCCCCTCAGCCCGACCAAGCACCGACTGATACCTCCTCCAACCCTGCAGTCTCCCAGCCCTTCCGGCTAACTCCCAGTTACGTCCTGGGCATGACGTGCTGTGGTATGGAATACCTCTTTGGTCAGTTTGGGTCAGGTGCCCTGTCTCTGCTTCCTCCTGGCTTCCCCTCCTCCCTGGCAGAGCATGAGGCTCACAAAGTCCTTGGCCAAACCAAAACATCATTGTTATCAGCTCTGTTCCCACGCCGAAAGTCAAAACACTGCACTTAACCAGCTACCAAGAAGGAGAAACATGACTGCTGCTGCTGAACCCAGGACACTGGGAAAGACGTTGAGTTATTTTTGTTCATTTTAAGTTTTAGTTATGTCCATATCCCTCAACTGTACCCAGGTCAATAGAAAAATGGATAGCAGTCCAGAAAGGAACTCTATATGGAGGCTGTGCCCTGAGCTTCTGCTGTTCAGTTGGGAGTAGCTGGTATCCATCTTACAGGATGAAGTTTGCCTGCTTTCAGCAAATTTCATGTAGTAATAAGTGCTGACTGTCACAGGAGATGAAAACATGCACAGTACACACCACTTGTTTGCTGCTTGCTAATCAGATGGTTTTGCTTGTACTTTAAGAAACATTCAGGGCAGATTAAGTAACTTTAAGGCCAATTAATCACATATAGCTCCTGTTAAAACTCCACTAGACATACTCACTGTAACCCTTTGTCCTTTACTTGTTTTCACATTTAAGATCAACTTTTTTATAAGCATGGCATGCAACTGAGCAAACATTTCCATAAGTGATATAAAGGAAATAATTTATTGAAATCTTTGAATTCAAACACAGAGTAATACTTCAGAAAAAACTCATGACTGAGGCTCTTACTTATCTACAAACATAACTTGCATGACTGAAAAAATATAGATCATGTCTTTATTAGTGTCACATCATTAAAAACATACAAATAGTATTGGAGAATTTAGAGTAACTTACTATAGCAGGTAAAATATATAGCTGCCAAATTTTTTATTGTCAATTATGATGATATAAGCTGCCACAGGTTTACTAATTGTGCATTGTCTTCTGATGGACTTTAGAGTACAATTTTATTGTTTTAGAAGACCCAGTCTCCTCTTTCAGCCAAAATTTGTATGAGCAGACTTCTATCCACAATTTTTAAATATATAAAGATGCACATCTAAGGTAGGATGTCTTCATATCAAACTATTTCATTTATAAGTATGATAAAACATTTAGAGGCATATGTCCCAGATTTCCATCCACATTTCAATTCTATGTGTAGGCATTCCTGCAGCAGTTTGCAGTTGCAATAGAAAAGGTGGTGGTCTCTTGGAAAGGTGGCACTTTCTGCCTGTCAACCAAGTCCATTAGGGCATGTTCTAATGTAAATATTTATGGCTAATTTGGCCACCTAAAAAAAAAAAAAAAAAAAAAGGAAGAAGAATGGAGTTATTTCCTAGATAGCCTAACTTTCAAATTCTCCCTGAAAGTAATACCTGCTTTTGTTATGGTGGCTTTTAGCACTGTTTCACAGCTTCTAAGCCTGTAAAAAATGTTAAAGACTAAAATTATATTTTCACAATTTTAATTGAGAAAAAAAAGTGCGTCATTTTAATAGGGTGGAATTGGTGACTTTTGAGGTGGCTTGCCTTTGCCCACTTCTACTTAATGCCTTCTGAGCCAGCAAAGCTGTTAAGTTTTCTAAAACCAAAGGTTAGAACAAAAGCAATTAGCTGATGATAGATTATCGTGGTCATTACTGAATATCTGTGATACACAGACTGAGTTCCAGTTTACAGACAACATGAAGAAGTCCTTTGACCTTTGAGGTGACTGTTGATCACCCTTGTCTGTTTTCACCTCTAATGTCAATGATGTTAATACAAAAAGGAGTCAGCAGAATTTCAGAAGACTGGAACGATCTTTCCGGTATTTCATAGGTAGCATTGCCATTATTGCATTAATTTATGCTACTGCTCCCAGGTAACAAGAGAAATTTTTGGCTTCAGTAAATACAATTGCAAAATTCCTGTTTCATCCTGTATGGCGTAACACTTTGACTGAACTGCCTATTCACAGTTTCACAGGCAGTGACGCCAAAAAAAAAAAATAAAACCCATCTGACAGCCATCAAGTTCTGCCCTCTTTACATCCTCTCTAGCCAAGATTGCTTGGTGTTATAAAGAATTGCCATAATCACAGAAACTGCAGACAGAAATAACTTTACTGAAATCAAAACCCATGCAGGCCATACCTTACCATTAGGAAACTTATCTTTTCTAGGAGGGATTTCAGTAGTCTTCTTTAAGGATTCTGTGGCTAAATTTCTAACATGTTCACTGGGACTGAAACGTGACCAGAAATGCCTCGATGCTGAGTTTCAATTTTCCATTCTTTAGTTTTCTTCCATAGTCTCCTAATTAGATCCCCGTTGTCCTGTGTTCAGCTGTTAATTTTCTTTCCAGTAGCTGGTGCAGTGCTGTGTTTTGGCTTCAGTCTGAGAACAATGCTGGTAATACACCAGTTGTTCAGTAGCACTTAGTTGTTCAGTAGCACTTACCCTGATAAAGGACTTTTCAGTCTCATGCTGTGCCAGTAAGGAGTGGCACAAAAAGCCGGGAGGGAGCAGAGACAGGACACCTGACCCAAACTAGCCAAAGGGGTATTCCATACCACAACAGGTCATGTCTGGTATGTAAACTGGGGGGAGTCACCCAGAAGGGACTGATTGCTGCTCTGGTCGGGATGAGTATAGGCCAACAGGTGGTGAGCAATTGCATTGTGGATCACTTGGGTTTATTTGTTTGTTTAGGGGTTATTATTATTCTCTCTTTATTATAGTAGTAGTAGTATTTATTTCAATTATTAAACTGTTCTTATCTCAATCCATGGGTCTCTACCTTTTTTCCAACTCTGTTCTCCCACCAGGGCTGAGGGGGGTGTGAGTGAGCAGCTGTGTGGTAACCTAGTTGCTAGATGGGGTTAAACCACAACATCCATTACTTTTGTTCCCATAATGAACTTCAAACTTACAAACCTGTGCCACTTCATACCAGTGCCTTCAGAACTCTTTATAGCGAGATGCTGTATTTTTAACAGTATGAATCTCTCAATAATTCTAGATATGCAGTTATATATGCTGCTATCTAATGGGACTTCCTCCATTATAGCTTCCATGTGGCATACTTCCACTGATTTCAAAGGGAAATCACATTCAGAATGTTTTAAAAAATGGCACACTTCTAGCAGATTGATGCACCACTGCAGGACTTGAGACTAGAATTTTGTTTGCAAACAGATATGTGCTGGTCATTCAAATACAAAAAATTACAAAGAACTGAATTTCAACTGGTGTTCTGTTATTTTTACTACTCGCACTCAGGTTCAGCTTTCTCTATCTGTCATCAACAGACCACTCAACTCAAGGTTGAGAAACATGCTTTTAACTGTTTTGCTGAATTATGGTCTCAGGTAATGTGTAAAGTTAATCTCAAATTAGTTGATGAGAGAAGGTGGGAGAAGATGATTCTTCCTTCTATATTAAGTGAAAATTTAGTGTTGCATTTCAGTTCCTTTTGTTAATTGCTACTCTGTAATAATTTTCAAAAATGTATTTAGAAATCATTTTTGAAAGAGGACCACAATAGAAAATAAGACAAAGACAGATGTTTCATTAATTGTTTTGTTTCTGTTTGTTTTAGGACTGCAAGAATGCCTTGAAAAATACTGGGGCAAGAAGGCCCCAGCTCTGATTTTAGTACCTGTGGTGGATTTACCTGGCAAGGAAGTAATCCATATAACATGCTGGCTAAGCTAGCAGTTTGAAAGAGATGAGTTTTTATCAAAACATACATTCCATCCAGGAGAGAACAAAGAAAAGAGTTGATCATAAGTGTGTTGGATACTTTCATTAAGCAATATTTTTTTATTTAAGCAAAGTCATATCTTGTTAATGATGTCTTATGACATGTGACACAGCTTTGTGTGAACAATAAAGGTTTCTTTTCAAAATATTATGCTTTTTTCTCTCTTATTTTTAGATATGTTCTGGTAATAGCAGGTGGCTCTTGGGAGATGTCAGTTGCTCTGATTACATCAGTTCTTTTATCTGATATATTTGGGACTGTTTACAATAAACAGATTATAACTTCATATCTTTTCGATAGAGGTGAAACCAGAAAATTAGCCTCAATACTGTTTTAAAGACCTGATTCCTTTCAGTTCTATGCTGAATTTATTGACTTCAGACCAACTCATGAAGAAGTTATCTGTGGCCAGATTTTAACCCTTTTTTTGCACCAGAGGGGTATTCAGAATGCACATTTTACCAAAGTAATGGAGATGCTGCTCATACGACAGGATTTGCCACCCTACCTTCTGAGCAAAAGCAGGTATCCTTGTGCTTTACATCTGGCAGACAGCTCTTATTAAAGAGCTACCAGTATTCCCCAGGGCTTGTCTTCTCCAGAAAATCAACAGGAATTTTACCACTGCTTTCATTAAAACAGTCTCAGACACAGGCAAAGCTCCCATCTATATCATTGCAGCTGATATTTTACTCATAACATGATAAAAGATCAGTATAGGAGAGAAAGCCTTTTGGACTTTGCTTGAGGCAGTAAGGCACTGGAGAGGAATCTCATTTTCAGACAAAGGCTATAAAATTAAACCTTCAAGAAATATCAAACTTTTGTCTTGCCAATGTTCTACATTATATATTCCCATTGCTTCTCTTCCAGTGTATGAGCACTGGAGCTACATGACCAGCACTCCCATTGTCTTCCTTCTCTTACACCAGCATATACCTGAGATGTCTCCATGAAAGTCAACTGCCTGGCAGTACATTTACATTGGGGTGACTAAGAGGTGGACTTAGCACTCCAGCTTCATTTTCTTACCTCCTACCAAATATGCACTTAGCAGCAGCTGATACAAAACCAGTGGCTAAAGATAAGAGGATCTTTCTCTGTTTAGATGTTTTGCATGTCCAGCATTCTATGATGACTGTTACTTGAAGACAGAGTATGTTAAATATTATTATTACTTACTATTACATCAAGTAACATAGCAGAGCTGCCATCCTCTTTAGTAGGAATTGCTTTTTTCACAGTTATTCAAATATTTTGGAAGGCAGAAGGCAATGAGCTTTCCATGTGTAAATACATGGACATATTAAATCTCTTAAGAAAAAAGGGAAGAATCTGTTAACAATACATTAGTTCATTATCATTCAGTATCGTTTTAGGTTAGACTCAAATAATCGTATTTGATCCTGTTCTTTCCCACGATCAGAAAATAACTTGCCAATACCTGGATGTGCCTCTTTTATTTGAATTCTACTCTTTTTAAAAGGTAAATATTTATATTTTTTTTTACTTCTCTCTGGAAATACCAGTGTTTTATTTCTCTGTGTGGAGTTCCCACAGACCAGAGACACAAGCTGGACTGAAACAGGAGAAAAGAAGGCAACAGTACTTTCAGAGAGATGAGGATGAAGCTTAATTTTTCATAGGTACATATGGAAGCCAAATAGATGGCATAAATTTAACTGTGTCTCCTGTAGCAGTCATTTTTTTCACAGTGAGTTTCAAAAAGATACTGACACATCAATCCTGTCTTTTATATTGTATTGAATATTTTAAGGTGGCAGGATATTTGCTCCTGGAGAAACCAGTTTTCGTGCAAGATTCTGGACTCACACTATCCTTCTTTTCCCTAGTAGAGGTGCATTGACAAATGGTAACAATGCATTGGTCTGACAAACAGTGTGATTTTTATTTTTTTTTTCTCAACAGAAAGCAAACCTTTTCATTGTCTGAGACAAGAAGTACTTCAATGGGTCTACTTTGTGAATAGCTAGAAAATAATAGTTTCTGACTTTTACTCCTTGAGAGGCTTCATACAGCTTCTAAGCATTGTGTGTAACTAAAACTATAAGCTGAGTCTGCAGTGGTTTAAGTAAGAACAAGACAATTTGTTCAACATTGATATGCACGGTAGGTGTGTAAAGTGCTGCTCCATAGAGAGACCTAAGACTTTATAACAAGAAGAAATAACACCATTTTATCAGCCTTATGCTGCTGTACTTTCATCATAATTACCGGGCCCTACTGTGAATAAGTTGTTTCATTGAGCTCTTGTTCACTTTCTTTGTAACAAAAGTGCTAGCTGAAGACAGGAGGTGGGGAGACAGGCACGCACACAGACACACACACATGTTTTAGTAAAAAAATGGAGAGACATCTAATGCTCAAAATTTATAGATGCAGGGTTTGTTGGGTGGGGTTTTTTTCACGACTAGCTTTGCTGAGTGTTTAACTCAGCAAGTTTTAATCTTGAGACTATAAATTCGCACACTGTGCTAAGACACTGGTTTTGAGGACTTTATATATAAACACCATTCTTCTGTTTCTCTGATTTTTACTAAGCCTGCAGGAAAATGTTTCATATGCATATTATATCACAAAAAGTTGGCTGATCTAGGTTTCAGCACTCAGAACACAGAAGGGCTATGTAATAGGTGGGAAAATGTCTTTAAAAATGTAACCCAAGATTTTAATTTTTCCTTTCTCTGCTGTAACAAG